GACAGCAACATGCTTGTTGTCAAAGGTTGAGATGACAACCAAGAATTCATTATCCATGGTGTTTTCCAGATTAGCTGCAATGACTTCTACTTCACACCAGATGCCAATTTTGATCCTGCAAATGTCTTCCATGGACACTTAGCAGATGTCAAATTGAACTATCGACTTACTGCAGGTAGAAATCAAAACTTCAAGTTCTCATCAGATGACTTTTCTGCAGTTCTTGACAACCTTTGTGCGTTTGAAAAGCTTGTTCCCAGCAAGAAAGACTACAAAACCTTCAGTGTCATCTATGACTCTCTTGGCCAAAGATCCATCAAACTCACCCACAATCTCTTCAATGTAAGTACTTCCAATTGCTCATTATTTGTTATTCTTCCCTAACAGCTAAATATACCATAAAATAGATTAAAACATTCGATGATGAAAACCAACATGACACCACTGATGCTAGAAGGGTGGATAGCGATGACTCAACCAGTACGTAGCACTACAAAAATCCTGACTCAGTGCTGATTTGATAAATTTCCTTTGTAACTGCAGGTGATGACCTTGGCCCTGAATTTGACTTTGCAACATGGCCAGTTGCAGAATGATGCAAAGATCCTTTACAGGAACTTTTATCCACCCATGATATTCAGCCTTTACCAGCATATGACGAGAACCACAATCTTATTCCACCACACCTCTATGAATCAAAATTGAAAGGAGCCCTCGTTGAAGTCCATATGGCATTTTGCCACCATCACATTGTCAAGTCAAAATGCGATGTTTGCAATGCCATTTTATGTGAACTCATCATACTATCCCCACCAGCTGCATTGCCAAGCAGTCCTTTCAAATGTTGACATCTTGCTGCTGGGCCTTGCACAGAATGAGGATACAAAGGAAAACAACCGATCACTGGCAGGAACTCTGGGTCTTTGTCTTGAGAATTCCACAATGGTGTGTCTTCACTTTCAATGTTGGCTTTCAATCTTTAATGCTGTTCTACTATCAGTTAAATGTGTTGGCTACCCAAAGAATCATGTAACAAATACTATCGTGCTTTCTATTACCAATATGCTCGAAAATCGTCACTAAAATACTATGTACAACAATATCTCTGTATATAACTGAATTCTACAGTGTAGTATTGTACAAGCATTCCTGTGAGCAAAACTTGGTCCCATTATAATGGTACAAGGTTGCTGCTGGTGAAGCTTGGCCTTTATCTAGTTAGAGTTAGCACATGATAATGGAGGTACGAGCACAGAAGAGAAAGCTTAGTAATATGTACAAGAATGAGTAATGTAGGGAACACTGATAACTGGGAATAGCTGGAGTGGTGTCAATTAGTAAGCACAGCATGGATGAGAGACAAGTCCAATGCACAGACTTTCGGATTGGACACATAGAACTAACCGTTCGATAGTTATATTGTACAATTATTTACATTGGAAGGAAGTCTGAAAAGAACTCCTACTCTACTCTAAGTCTCATAACAAGAAGGAGATCTCCTGAAGTCAGTTTGGTAGTCAAGAGTTAGAACTCTTGTCCCTATCCAGCATGTTATGGTGTGATGCACCTCAAGCCTCATAGTGAATACAAACTTGAGAGAAAGAAATGTGTCAGACTAATGCGCCTCCGCTTGATGGCAAGATCATTAAAACACTGTTTTCAGTCCTCTCAAGGGAATTTCGGTGCCATATTATCCAGTGAGAGCTTCTACTCCAATCCAGGCTCCTATTTAGCAACCAAGTTTCAGAGAATGATGAGAAGAATTAAATGTGATAACCCAGACTTCCATGTCACACTTCGATGGGTTCCTGGTCATAAGGGGGTCCATGGAAATGAGGAAGCAGACAGGGCAGCCAAAACAACAGTGGAAGGAAGACACTGAAGCAGTCCCCATGCACATCTCCCCTTGTATCTTTGTGATGGTTCACTACCGCTTAGCATTTCAGTGATCAAGCAAGCTCATAGGGTATGTACCCATGCCAGATGGGCCAGGCAGTGGTCCACCTCCCCCTGTCATCAATGTCTCCAGCACATTGACCCTCTTACCATTGAACACTCCTTCATCAAACTCACATCCTCCTTCTTAAAATGCCTCACCAGTCTCATTCTTGGACTATGCACCCATCATCTCCCCCTGAATCAGTACCTATTCTGACTCACAAAAACAGCCTTGCTGGATTGCCCCCATCAGCAAAACCCTAAGTTAAGGTCCCCCCTTTTACAGTGCTGTATGGCGCTGTGTGGCACTGTGTGGTGCTGTATGGTATCATGTAGTGCTGTAAAAGGGGGGACCTTAACTTAGGGTTTTGCTGATGCCCATTGCCCACAAACCAAAGAAACTGTCCATCACTACCTTTTTGAATGCCCACAGTACCAGCCAGCACACCACATGTTAGCTGTTAAGAACCATGCTCAAAGGAGAGAGAGACTGACTCAGAGGGGCTTGGCCTCAGCTCATATGCTGTGCCCCTTACCCAAGTATGTGCCCTTCATTTCAGATAAGGTCCAATGATGGTCCAATGAAGTCCAGAGGACTTCTAGAGGCTGGCTACTCTGCTGGAGAGTGCTAGAGGACTTCCAGAGGAGCGCGGGAGAGTTCTGGAGGAATGCAGGAAGTGCTCAGGAGAGTTCCCACTGCAAGGTAAGACTTCTACAGGAAACAGGATGGAAGGATAGGAGGACAGGAGGACAGGAGGACAGGAGGACAGGAGGGCAGGATGATGGAGGACAGAAGGACAGGATGTCTGAAGGTACAGAGGGCAGGATGTCTGAAGGACCGGAGGATAGGATGTCTGAGGGTTAGGAGGACGGAATGTCCAAAGGTACAGAGGGTGGAATGTCTGAAGGACAGGATGCCTGGAGGTACGAGGGACAGGTGGTCCGGAGGTCTGGAAGGAATAGGGGCTACATCGGACAAAGTCCGATGTAGAAGCAAACAGAGGTAGACTACCCTAAGGTAGAGTTGGAGAGACAGGGATTGGACCTAAGTCCAGAAAGAGGGTAAGTGCCAGAAAGGCGGAGCTCCGGCCTAGGGAATCAATCCCTAGGCCTGATGGGTAGGACAGACTTAGGTGGACCAAAGTCCGAGAGAGGATTGGGCAAGTCTAAGTTGATATTCAAACTAAGGAAACTACAGGAGTATCTACAGGGGTTATATACTGGAGAATATCTGAGGGGATCAATAAGCAAAGGAGCAGGGCTATGTACGAGCATGTGGAAACACATTAGTAAGTAAGACGGAACATACAGTGGCTCAAAAAACTGTCCACATGTTTTTGCATTTTTTACTATTTACAATATTGTGTGAGAATACATAAAGACCTCAGTGACATGCTAATACCATATTGTAGTGCTGCTTCAGGGCTTTGGATTGAGCACCACATCGTGAGAATCAGAGGAGATATGGTGGAGATACAAGGCTTACAAAATCATGACTCATGCGGACAGTTTTTTGAGCACATATTAAAACTATATAAATCATCATTTATGACACCATAACAATCATGCCACCATTAAATAAATTATAAAGTGGTGTCATTATGTCATTTTAAAACCATATCTAACTATACAAACCAAAAATTTCCATATGTCATGATTATATTCACTATGAAAGCCACCCCCCCTGCTCAAAGGGATAATATCCTCTCTCTTTCCTATTCTGGCCTCTCTGCTTGTCAAATTTCCTCTAGAACTGGAGTATCCAAGTCCACTGTGGCCAAGTTCATCAAAGAAAGTCACACAGACAAGGAAAACTTCTGTGAAGGGCGTCCATCCAAGCTCACCTCTACTGATAGGAGGGCTATTATTCAACACATCACTACAGGAAAGGCTGATAATGCTGTCCAGGTCACCTATTACATCAATTCCACCATCACATTCCCTGTCTCTTCACACACTGTGAGAAACATTCTCAAGACAGCTCATCTCAGGTCAGTAACAAGGAAGAAAAGGCTCTCCTCTCTATCACACATATGCAGAGAGGACTAGCACCCTTCTTGTTTCACATATATACCTTGCCATCTGACCCAATCCTATTTATTGTGGTCTTATATGATCATATAACATGCTTCCAGTCCATGTAATCCAATTCTGATGGGCTAAGGCAAAGGTTAGTCATCTCTGCATATGTGTGATAGAGAGGAGAGCCTTTTCTTCCTTGTTACTGACCTGAGATGAGCTGTCTTGAGAATGTTTCTCACAGTGTGTGAAGAGACAGGGAATGTGATGGTGGAATTGATGTAATAGGTGACCTGGACAGCATTATCAGCCTTTCCTGTAGTGATATGTTGAATAATAGCCCTCCTATCAGTAGAGGTGAGCTTGGATGGACGCCCTTCACAGAAGTTTTCCTTGTCTGTGTGACTTTCTTTGATGAACTTGGCCACAGTGGACTTGGATACTCCAGTTCTAGAGGAAATTTGACAAGCAGAGAGGCCAGAATAGGAAAGAGAGAGGATATTATCCCTTTGAGCAGGGGGGGTGGCTTTCATAGTGAATATAATCATGACATATGGAAATTTTTGGTTTGTATAGTTAGATATGGTTTTAAAATGACATAATGACACCACTTTATAATTTATTTAATGGTGGCATGATTGTTATGGTGTCATAAATGATGATTTATATAGTTTTAATATGTGCTCAAAAAACTGTCCGCATGAGTCATGATTTTGTAAGCCTTGTATCTCCACCATATCTCCTCTGATTCTCACGATGTGGTGCTCAATCCAAAGCCCTGAAGCAGCACTACAATATGGTATTAGCATGTCACTGAGGTCTTTATGTATTCTCACACAATATTGTAAATAGTAAAAAATGCAAAAACATGTGGACAGTTTTTTGAGCCACTGTATGTGGGATGGAACACCATGCTTGGAGAACACATGGAGTAGGAACAAGCAAGCAAGGTCCAGAGAGGTGATAGTATTGTGGGTTGGAACAAATATTGCTTGCTTGGATAGATGATCTATGATGACAAGGATGGCTGTGAAGCTGGAGGAGTCCGGAAGTTGCTCAATAAAATCCATGGAGATGGAGTTCCAAGGCTTGTCTGGAACAGGGAGTTGTTTGAGCAATCCATATGGTTTATGTCTTGGAACCTTGGCTTGGGCACAGGTGGTGCATGATTTAACATAGTCTTTGACATAGGTGCATATTCCGGGCCAGGTATATTCATGTTGGATGAGTTCTAACGTCCGATTCTGGCCAAAGTGTCCAGACAGAGGATGGTCATGTGTGTTCTGGAGGATGTAAAGTCAGAGGTCATTGGAATTGGGGACATATATATGATTGTCGCAATGGAGGAAACCACTATCATCCATGGTCCATCTGGGATCCAGAGGACTGGACATTTGAGTGGACACAATAGGGTCATTAGGGAGAGTGGATAGGATATCATTTTGGAGTTGGTCAACATCCATGAGTACAGCTGCTCAGAGCACCAGATATGCTAAGGTTGAAGCTTGTAGGGATGAAGCTAACTGTTCAGACATGAACACCAGACGGAAGTTATGAGGGTTAACTTGAGCGTAGTCCTTATCCCCCTCTTTGGGATAGACATCCCAGCATCTAGTGAGGGAATCTGGTTTTGCTCCAAGTTTTCTGAGACAGAAACAGATGATGAGATTGAATTGGTGGAGGAACTCTGACCAATGTGCCTGATGGCGAGAGAGGAGTTTGGTGGTTGTGAAGTACTCAAGGTTCTTGTGGTCTGTGACAACATCAATAGGCTCAGACGAGCCTTCTAGGTAGTGTCACCAGGTCTGGAAAGCTTCATATATGGCTAGGAGTTCCTTGTCATGGGTATCATAGTTGAGTTCTGGAGCGGACAGGGTTCTAGAATAGAACACTACTGGATGAAGCTCTGAGTCTGGACATACAATGGACAGTATTCCAGCGATAGCATAATCAGAGGCATCAGTCTCAATGACAATAGGAACATTCAGGATCCAGTGCATAAGCACCAGAGCAGAAGTGAAGGCTTTCTTGAGTGCGGCAAATGATTTCTGGCAATCCTCCAAAAAGTCCCAGTTAACATTCTTGCATGTAAGCCAGGTGAGTGGAGTGACGATGTCTGAGTAGTTGAAGATGAAACGATGATAGAAATTTACGAATCCAAGGAAGGATTGAACATCCTTGACCTTCCATGGCTCCGGCCAGTCAATGATAGCTTTGACTTTATTGGATGACATAGTAAGGCCTTCCAGAGACAGGAGGTAACCAAGGTATTCTATGGAATCAGGGTGGAACTTGCATTTCTCTGGTTTGGCATAGGGTTGATGCTTTTGGAGTCATCAAAGTACTTTTTGGACGTGTTGCTTATGGGATGCAAGGTCATGGGAATAGATGAGTATGTTGTCCAGATACACCACAGTGCATATGTCAAGCATATCGGTGAAGATGCTATTGACAAAACACTGGAAAGCCACTGGAGCATTGGTGAGACCCTCAGGCATAACTAACCACTCATAGGAGCCATAGCACATCCAGAAAGCTGTCTTCCACTCATCTCTGGAAGAGATACAGACAAGATGGCAAGTGGACTGGAGGTCGATCTTAGTGTAAACTTTGGCATGGCTCAAAGAGTCTAAGAGGTCAGCGATGAGGGGCAATGGATAGCGGTCTTTCTTGGTGATCTTGTTCAGGCCATGGAAATCCACACAAAGATGCAGGGAGCCATCCTTCTTTTTGACAAACAGGACAGGGGCTCTGTGCAGAGAGGAGGAGGAGCGGAGGAGTCCAGACAAGATATTTTCATCCAGGAACTTCCAGAGAGCTTCAAGCTCAACCAGGGAAAGGGAATATATGGTGCCTAGGGGTGGAGCAGTACCTTCCTCTAAGTCGATCTTTAGGTCATAAGGCCTATGAGGAGGAAGTTGGCTA